GGCCCTGCGGGTCGGGTGTGCGGGGTCGTGTGTCCTGTGTCCTGTGTCGTGTGTGCGGGGTCGTGTGTCGTGTGTTATGTGCACAGACGCGCGCGCCGTGCACAGGAATAGGTCATGCGCTCTGTTTGTAAGTGTAGGTTACGTATTTGGGTAATTTGTGGTTTCGTGGTGGAACGGTTTGGGTTGGAAGGGATGTTGAAGGTCAGCTCATAGCAGCCTTACAGGATCTGAAAGGGCTCCAGGGAAGCCGGAGAGAGACTCTGTGTTAGGAGCTGCAGTGACAGGACAAGGGGCAATGGCTATAAATTGAAAGAGGAAAATTAGGCTAGATATTAGGCAGTTTTCCCTGTGAGGGTGGTGAGTCACTGGCCCAGGTTGCCCCGGGAGGCTGTGGCTGCCCCAACCCTGGCAGTGTTCAGAGCCAGGTTGGATGAAGCCTTGAGCAACCTGCTCTGGTGGGAGGTGTCCCTGCCCAGGGCAGGGGGTTGGGGCTGGATGATTTGTAAGGTGCATTCCAACCCCTAAAACACTATGACTCTATGATTATTGTTCCATCCCCCCATGCCACCAGGTTGCTCCAAGCCCCATCCAACCTGGCCTTGAACACTTCAGGGATGGGCCAGTCACAGCTTCTCTGGACAACCTGTGCCAGTGCCACATCCTCCTCCCAGTGAAGACTCTTTTCTAATATCCAATCTAAACCTACTCTCTGTCAGTGTGAAGCCATTCCCTCTTGTCCTGTCACTCCAGGCTCTTGTAAATAGTCTCTCCATCTTTCTTGTATGCTCCTTCAGGCACTGGAAGGTCACAATTAGGTCACATTGAAGCTTCTCTTTTCTAGGCTGAACAATCCCAATTCTCTCAGCCTTTCCCCATAGCAGAAATGTTCCATCCCTCTAATAACTTGGTGACCCTCTCTGGACTCGCTCCAACAGGTCCATGTCCTTCCTGTGCTGAGGACCCTGGAGCTGAATATCATATATGTTTGGGTATATCTATTTTTTTTAATCCTTCCAGCCCCAAAGTGCCAAACACCAGTATGCAGCAACCTCAGAGCAGGAGGAACAGGGCACTGTTGGCACAGCACCTGCATCACTCCAAAACCCTGAGCATCAGCATCTTAGTCTTTGGGATTCAGGGAGAATATCCGATTCAGCTCTGGTTAGTAAAATACACTGCATGTGAATGAGCCTCACAGCTCTGCAGGGAGCAGGACAGACCTCCTCTCACTGCAGTTGATGCCTTTGGCTCCTCACTCACACAGAGGCTGAAGTCCAGAGAGCTGACACTATGCGAGGCAAGGCAGAAATTCAACCAAACACGTGAACATTTTTCCACCCCCTCTACCTTTGCCCCTGCCTCAGTGCTGTGTTCCCATCAGGAGCAGTCAGACCTCCTCCACCACCATGTGTGGCATCAGGGTATTCCTGCAGAAAATCCTGATTCTTCTGCAAGTTACTCTGTCTGTTGTTGTTGGCAAAACACTGATGATACTGTTCCCCAATGCCATGAGAAGATACATCCTAAAACTGGGTGAAAAGAGCAGAATGAATGAGAATCCAAAGTTCAGCTACGAAAACTGGGGTCCAACTTTCTTCAGCTTCAAGTATCTGCTCTTTGTGCTGAAGGTGAAGTGGAAGAGGCTGGAGGATGAAGCCTATGAGGGACATCCTGCTCCCAACACGCCCGTGGTGACGCACAGTGGGGAAGTTCATCACCTCCTCGATTTCATGCAAGGTCAGTAATTGAGCCATGTGGATGGGTTTGGTTTGCTGAGAGGATAAATGAGGAGATGCTGCTGAGGGAACAAGGACAGGCACCTGGCACCACAGTGCATGACATGCAGACTATCAGCACTCACCGGATGGAGATGCAGCACATTCAGTCCCCCTGTCTGCCTCTTGATTTTCAAAAATACCCTGCATTTATCATCCTGGCTACACTATCCCTTCACACCACTGAGCTTATGAACCTTTTGCAAGAGCTGGCTCTGCCTGGAAGCACCTTTTACTGAAATCCCATATACTAATTAGTTTTAAGGAGCATTTAGTTTTAATCAGGACCATCAGGACCAATCATGAGTGTTGGTGTCATTCCCTGTCAGTACAGAAAATCCCACAACGACTCCCTTAACCAGCCTAAAGCTTAGAAAGCACATGGTGGGTTCTTCCAGATCCAAAGTGGCTGGAAATAAAGCAGAAGTAGCTGCTTTGTACTTTGTCCGCTGCCTCCCACCAAGATCTCTGTGGAAGGTGGAATTAATCATTAAGCTGAAGCCTCCAACCCCATGGGAGGGATTACATCCTTCTCGAACTCTGCTTTTCCAATTATATATAGGTATTTATGTAGAAAATGGAATGCAAATTTGGAAGATATACACAGTATCTACAGGAAGGTACCACTTTTATTAAATTCTTCAGGATGTGGATCTATGTTAGCAGCAGCTTTTGAAGTTAAACCCAGGCAGAAGGAAGGGCTTGCACAAATTTTATGTATTTTAGCATAACCATGGACTAAAAGAGGTGCTTAAAAATCCTTCTCCTAAATCAAGGCCTTGCCAACAGATGGCAACACCTGTGGACACACACAGTGTTAATTTGTAAGAACTGCAGACACTTCTGCCAGTGGCTCAGGTAAGGTTAGTTTAATAAATAATAACATATAACCAAAGTTTGTCTGGACAGGAAGTTGCAGATACATTGAGAACAGGAAACCTCTTATGCATGACTGAAAAGTCTGCAGCTTCCCCTCAGCTCAGCTAGAACTGAGACCTCTGCAAAAAACCAGCACAGGTCCACAAAAAGGCACTGGGACACTGTAATTAAACATCCATCCCTGAGCCACTGTCCTTGCAAAATGTTGCAGATGACCATGTTTAGTATTTTTGAAGTTGCTCCATACTAAGGATCTTGGGAAGGCTGTGCTACATACTGTATGTCCATTTTAGATCAGGTCCCTGTCCCAAAACGTTGGTAACTTGAGAACTGGCTCTTGTGATGAGGTAAAAACCAGCCCTGAGCCCATGGTGCCTCCTGCCTTTCCTGAGCAGGGAACCCTCGGTTCAGCTTGTTGCTGAATGTGGAACAGCTCATAGCCAGGCTGGGAAAAGAAAACATCCTGATGCCTGTTTTACCTGCTGCTGATTTTAATGACCTAAGTTTATGGGATAAGGGACTTAACTGTTGTCCAGGAAACTGCACCAAAGGCTCAGTTCAGTGTATGCATTTAATTCTGTCCTTCCTCCCTTGGCTAATTTAACCACAAAATGTCCCTTTTTTCTTTTCCCCAGATAACAGACCTTTAATCCTGAATTTTGGAAGCTGCACATGACCTTCATTTATGTTAAAATTTGATGAGTTCAACAAGCTCATCAAAGATTTCGGCTCAATTGCAGATTTCCTTATCATCTACATCGAGGAAGCTCATGCAGTAGGTACAGTGCAACCAACCACAGCTTCAGACACGTGTCATTCCCCTTAGGAAGAAAAGTGTTAGCAGAGGAGGGAGCGGCAAACAGGACAGAAACCTCCCTCAAATCTAAACTGGCCACACCACATCTAGGCCTTAATTTTCCTGAGGTTTTACTCCCACATCTGACTTTACACAGAGTTGCTCAAAAAAAGTGAAGGTAAAACAAAACTTCCTCTCAGTGTTAGTACAGCTCCTTTTGGAAAGGGGAAGGTATTTCATAGAACAAATGTGAAGTGTACAACACCAGCATGTTATGTGTTTGGTTTTTTAAAAAAAAAAAATTACTAGTTTTTAACGTGTAAGAAGAGCAGGATGCAGACTCCAATCTGAAAAATTTAACAAGCAAACTATACACACTTGTTTATCTACACTGGACTCTAAGTAACACATTGGCACTGATTCTATCCCAGGGTTAAGGTGGTTTTCTAAAACCCAACATTTAGAGTTTCCAAGTTTTCTAGCAATACATCACTTTCAGCAGTTGAGAATCAGATAATGACTAAATCATCCACGAAACCCTTTTACAACTTCCTACTTTACAGCGAAGAATTGTGTGCAAACACGTTTGCATAGTTCTGAAAGAAGGTGTGCCCTGCACCCCAGGTGGTTTTCTTCTCACAGATCTGAAAGTTTGGGTCATAGACTTAGTGAGAAGAATCAAGAAGAATGAACAGCACTGACAAACCTTAGCCAAATAGGATATATGTCCCTCACCTGATATCTTTATGTGGGAAAAAATCAGCTAAAATCAGTATTTCCAGATCCAGGGCAAGGGAAATACAGCTTGAAGGTAAAAAAAAAAAGAAAATAGACCTTGATTCCACTTACCTGAAAAGCTCTAGTGCTCCCATACTCAAGGGGGCTTTCATTTCATGGCAAGTTTTGGTATTAGGAGTAAGCTGCAGTATTCTCTTACCTCAGTTTTGGGGTATCACACATAGTACCTCTCTACCCTTGCACCGATTCAGAATATTCCCTGCTAAATCTTTTTTGCTTTTGTTTTAGATGGATGGGCTTTTAAAAACAATGTTGTCATTAAAAATCACAGAAGCCTTGAAGATCGAAAAATTGCAGCTCAATTCCTTCAGAAGAATAATCCTTTGTGCCCAGTGGTTTTAGACACTATGGAAAACCTGAGCAGTTCCAAATATGCTGCACTGCCAGAACGACTCTACCTGCTTCAAGGAGGGAAGGTCATCTACAAGGTAAAAAATATCAGCAATAATGAGCACAGTACACTGAGATTTTTCAAGTTCAAGATAATTTGAGACTGCTTTACATTTAACAGTCAGTTATTCCACTTTGTTTGAGAGCTAAACGTTTCACAATGCACTGTAACAGAAAAGGACTTCGAGCAAAACCAGTCTGGGCCTTTTTAATGTACATATTTGATGAACACCTCAGTCTTGCTCAAATATTTATCTTTTGGCTCATTAGGAATCCTAGGTACAGCTAAGCTGTGAGATCCAGGAGTGCTTTCCAGCTCCAGGATCCAGGCACAGGCCTTGTCTCCTTGACACAGCAGGGTGACCTGTGCATACACCATCTCCCAGAGACTGCAAAGGGAGCCCAGGCACACCTGCCCATAGTGCTGGTGCAGCTGCTGTGCTCTGAAGGACCTCTGATTTGTCTGCCTGAGCATCTCTGTGTCATTTTATTGCCTTGGCAGGGTGGAGTGGGGCCTTGGAATTACCACCCCCAGGAAATACGTGCCATCCTGGAAAAACTGAAATAGAGAAAGAAGAGGACTTCAGAGTAAGGGCCATCTGGATGAAGAAAGTCAAGAATAATTTTTTCATAGACAAATGTAAGGGGGGAAAAGTATAATATGGACAAGAACAAGAATATTGTATGTGCATGTAAAGAGCATCTGTAATGGGGTTCATTGTGTCTGCCTGGAGGTTTCAAGTCTCATCACGACAACCCTAACTACTGCTCTGTACTATCTTACTGCATTTATACCACAGGCAGCAACAAATATGGGACTGGATACCAACATTTACATTTGTAAGGATTGGAAACCAGCGTTTACGTATGTAAGGAATATTCTGCAGGATAAACATCAGGGGTGGTGGCATGTACAAGAGTGGACTGGTATGCAAAGCAACTGACTTCACATTGCTATGGTTCTGTTGTATACACACATTCCTAAATGTTCCCTTTCACTGACCTCAGGAGCTTCTGAGCAAAACAGCCTCTACCAATATTTGTTTCCATGAATATTTGTTATGATGGTCACAGCATAAAGCACAGACGGTTGTGACCTGATTCCAGAAAATATTTACAGAAACAAAGGATTGATGTACAATTATTAAAAGTATCTAAGAGCACTTTATTCAGCTTCAGATTATTTCCCTCCCTGTCCTGCCCCTCTGCCCTGCGTTATCTCTAAGTATTACCAGACATTTATATTTGTCCTAGCAATCCTTTGAGTTTGAGCTGCTAAGAAGAGTTAGCAATATAAGGACTTCTGAAGGCTTTGTCTGCCTGTAGGAAATAATACATCCCATCTAAATACTTCACATTTCTTTTTCATTTAACACAGACTGCAAGGGAAACACTATGACACTTAGGCTATGACATATGAAACTGAGTTTTAATTTGTATTAAGAAAGCCTGATATAAACATACTAATTTAAATGGACTCAGCTGTGCTCAAGTGTCTTAGGCTAACAGTTTCAGTTATAAACCAAGAAAGCTGTTACTACAATTAACAAAACAACAATTAGGGTTGGACTTGACGATCTTAAAAGTGTTTTCCAACCTAATTGATTCTATTCTACTCTATTACATACACTAAACTCGTGGGGAATGCATACTACATCCATACCATCAAAACCACTTTAATACAAGGTTCTAATATTAAACATCCTCTGCAATACAGCTATCAAAATGAAATTTCTTTATAAATAAAAAGGAGGTCCAGATTTAGGCTGGACTTAGGTGCTTTCTTCTGTGCCCTCTGCCATCACCCTGTGCACCGACACAAAATGGTCAAAGGCAGATTTGATGATGAAACGCAGGTAAGTGGCTTGGAAATCAGGAAGCTGCAGAAGGAATGAAAAAAAGCATTATTGCATTCTCTGTAGCAACAAAACTATCAAACTGCATTTGCAGAAGTTTGTTAGACAGAAGGATCTAAGTATTTCTGTGTCTGTTTTCAAACTGCACATAAGTCAAGCTCTTTGATAACATCTAGGCACCTTCAGAGTTTCTTTGGATGAGAGCAATTCAAAAACGTCCATTGCTCACAAATTCTGCAGCCTTAAAGGCAACAACTGAAGGAGGCAAGATTGCCACACTTCTGGAAAGAGTTCATCCTACAGTTAGGAGCACTAGGCAGGTGCAATTTCATACCATAATCTACAAAGGAGCAGCTGTGAAGAGCAATTTCATACCACGAGCTACAAATTCATCTCTCTAACACCAAGTGAGCAGTAAGTGTAAATAAAGATGTCTGTGTTTTTTATGGTTTCTCCCCACTTAGTTCAGACATGCCATTTCATGAGCCACTACTGATGTACACTGTAAATACTCACTGGAAATTCCTCCATTTGGAGCTGTCCTTCTGTGTGCTGCAAATCTAGAAAACATATTTTAAAGCCAATGATGAAGAATAATGTGCAACACTGTGAGAAGTTTTCACTGGACTTCAGAGTTCAAGTGAGTTTCAGGACTACAAATTTATATTGCATATAGAAGTTGTTTTCATTTTTACAAGGTGATTTAAGAGAACAAATACTTTTTGCAATATCCCACTTATTATACTGCTTTAGAAAATGTCACCCAAGAGGCACAAAAAACCTAAACAATGCAGGAAGTGGCATTCTATTATACTATGTAAGCCTGTTTTTAATTTTTGGAACATAAAGTGCACAAGTAGTGCTTTTAGCCCTTACGCAGCATTTTACTCTCCGAACTGCAACAGAGACCAGCAGTGTTCATAACATTCATTTAAACATGACTATTGCATTAATGTCTAGTAAAATAATCATCAAGCCACACTTGACTACTCAACAAATAGATGTGAAGATCATTATACCCACAAAATCCCTGCTGCGTCAGATCCAGTCTCACCTTTCTCAACGCACTGTTCAAAGCCCACAGGGTCTTTGGATATGCTTCTTTCAATCCTTAGGGTCCGCACTAAAATATATATAAATTTGAAATATCAACACAAATTCTGATTCTTCATTGATAATGATATCTATTCCATCACTTTTCATCCACAAAGCACTTTAAAAGCATTAACTAATCCATTCTTCTCTAACCTATGGAGGTTGTGGATGTGAAGGATGATTTCTTTGTGAAGTTTAATCTTTATGAATCTGTTAAAAGTGACTACTTAGACTATGATGCTATGAGGATTTTCATACAGGCATAGACACACATTTTAATATAGCACATGTTACCTACTGCACGACACCAAGTCTTACCCAAGTAACACTGGATCGCAACTTTGCTGATTTTCACACACTTGGGAAAACCAATAATGAATTCCTGTGGGAACATGCCTGTTGTGGTCCAAAATGTTTCAGAACTTCTGTGGAGAGAACAGGACAAAACCCTCACCTGTACCTTCCATCCATAAGTGTCTTGAAAGAAATTTATCACAAAAAAAGAAGGGGGAGAGCAAGGGAAGGGGGAGAAGCAAGGGAAGAGGGAGAGCAAGAGAAAGGAGAAGCAAGGGAAAAGCAAGGGAAAGGGGAGAAGCAAGGGAAAGGGAGAGAAGCAAGGGAAAGGGAGAGAAGGGAAAGGGAGAGAAGCTGGGGAAGGGGGAGAAGCTGGGGAAGGGGGAGAGCAAGGGAAGAAGGCATTTTTATTTGGGGTATTTTCATCCAACGCCATGCGACAACGGGACAGCTCTCTGAAGGTGCTAACACCCCATCGTGCAGGCTCTGTGCCCGGGGGT